AAAAAAATTGTCGGCGAAGGGTACCTTTTTTGCGACTAATTTGGTATTTTGGTCGCCAAAAATTTCTAAGGGAAATTTGAAACGTAGGGCAGGAAATCAGAAACACATTTTCATTTTCTCTTCTCTCATCTGTTTCTCTCAAACAAACAAACAAATATATCAAAATATGTCCACAATGTATCCCTGTTTCTCTCACTCTCTCCATCTGTTTCTGTTTCTCTCTATTATTCACACAAGCACAAACCCTAGACCACCATTCAAAACCACCACCACCACCAAAAATGTCTCACGCCGTGGTGGCGTCGCCCTATTTCCCCACCGTGAGGTCGGCGGCGAACTGACCAAACCAGGTAGCAGTGCGTGGAGCCGCCTACACTCTACCATTGCTAATCCTCTCGATTTCAGACCTCTTGCATCAGGTAAACACGCTCTCTCTTTCTCTCTCTCTCTCTCTCTCTCTCGCTCTCGTTCCCCCAATTTCAAACCCTAACTATAAATTTCAACTTCTCAGATCTTTGCCTCTCAAGAGTTTCTTCACCTTGAATTTGCTAAACCTGTAGTTTTTGCCTCCTGTAATTAATTTGATTGACATGGATTGAAGAAAACCCCTTTTTCTTATACAATTGAAATATGAAAGCCCCAAAAAATATATTTATAAATAAATAAATATATCAGATTACACAACCCTAGCTCTTTGGCTTCCAAGGGTTTTATCAAAATGCACAGAAGTTCTAATGGAGCAAATATGAAGGAGCTCAGTCTCAATCTTTCTTTTTTATTTTATTTCAATATCTGCATACCATTTGGAGTTTCATAATTCTCTGCAGATGTACTGTCTGTCTGCCTAAAGTACTGAACTTTTATTCCCATGTGTATTGTATGGGCTTTTTGGTAGATAAAAAGAGGGGGTTTAATTGTTAGGGGCTATGTTAATATATTTAAAGCTCTTCTATGCAATGTGACTCAGCACGTGCACCTGCGCCTGCTGATTGATTGATTGTATTGGATCTTCACAAATTGAACACCTGACAACTTGATTTAATATTATACCAGTAAAAGAGAATGAGAGGAAATACTCAAAAGCAATCGGACCATTGGTATCTTGTGCGACTCAAGTTGTTAGTAAAAATATTGCTATCAGCCAGTCTCTTGGAGCACTTATGTTGCAATACTTGCTTACATATGTTGAGGATGAAAAAGAATAACACTAAATAGTATAACAATACAGCAATGGTCGTTCCATGCCCATGGGTCATTCTTAACTTCAGCATAGGGCAGGGCTTGCAGGCTTAAACTTCTTGGATAGGGTTTCCCGAATAAAGACTACAAACAGATTGTTTGGATATTCTAGAATTGAGATGAAGGCTTTATAATTTTCAATAATATATATCTAGGAATATGCGTGACAGTTAACAAACAATCTTTGGTTCTTTTAAACTTTTGGGGAAATGTATGGAGTGGGTTTTTGGCTGTTGGACCAGGTGTGCTATAAAGGCATGCTTGTTTTTCATAGTGAATAATTGAAACTGAAAATAAGTCTAAGGTTCAATTTGTGTAATGGTTTAGGATGTCAGAAACAAATAGGCAATGGTAAAGAAACTTCAGGTTTTATTAAGAGAATGGCATGGAAGACATATGTTTGGAATCGCTTACCACATTCACGGTCTTCATTGGAGTTTTAATTTGTTAGTTGATCAAATTTACAGTGGTATTGGTAAAACATGTCAGGTGGTGTTAGAGGGAAGTAGTCTAGCATGCGTTGTAGAGGACCGTTAAAAGTTCATGTGCTTCCTTGGCATGAGGCATGAGGCGTGGTCTCTAAGGGACCTTATGTCTAGGTGGCAAGCTCTGAATAATTTTAGGAGACTCTTAGAAACCCATGATTTCTCTCAATGGGATGTATGACATCTAGCGTAAGGAGCTTTATGATTTTAGAAAAATATGAATAAATCTCTTGCTCTCTAGGAGATCCGTATGTTTGATATGCTAGCTTGCATGTTTTCGTCTTGGATTAAATGGATCACTGTCCTGTATGCAGGTGGTTTTGATAAAGGTAATACGTAACAAGATCACTAGTCAGCCAAAGGGTTATGGATTTGTGGAGTTCAATTCACATGCAGCAGCTGAAAGGGTTTTGCAGACATACAATGGGACACAAATGCCTGGAACTGAGCAAACTTTGAGGTTAAATTGGGCTTCCTTTGGGATTGGAGAAAGACGCCCTGATGCTAGGCCGGAGCACTCTATCTTTGTGGGGGATTTAGCACCTGATGTTACAGATTACTTGTTGCAAGAGACCTTTCGAACTCAATATCCATCTGTTAGAGGTGCCAAGGTCGTGACTGACCCAAATACTGGGCGCTCAAAGGGATATGGTTTTGTTAAATTTGCTGATGAAATGGAAAGAAACCGTGCTATGTCTGAAATGAATGGTGTCTATTGCTCAACTAGGCAAATGCGTATCAGTGCGGCAACACCGAAGAAGACCACTGGCTTTCAACAGCAATATGCAGCAGCTAGAGGTAATATTCAATCTTATTGTAATAGAACCAAACCTAACTTGCAAATTGTTGATTCATTTGCATGTGAAAATAATTGTCCGTACGAGGTTGTGATTACGTATTGTTGTAATCTTCTTTATAATGTTGTCCTCTTGAAGCCTTAATCTTGTCCGAAGCTCTCATTTCTCTTTCTAGTAAAGTGCTTTTTTTTTTGGGTATATATGTTGATAAGTTTTTTTTGGTAGTGCATATAATATATTTCAATGGGCCATTGGTTTAGTAGTTAAAACTCAACATATCAACTTTCAGGTTGTGGGTTCAAATATGAGTGCAGCCACTTTGTGCAGTTAATGCCAAAAGGTTAGGTCTGTAGCCCAATCTTTTTCTATTGGACCATCGTCCACTAGGGACTAAACTGGGCGTATGTTTCTTTTTTATTTTTGTAGTATTATATATATATATATGACCATAATGTGTCAGGTAGTGGGAATGTGAATTGACTAATTGAAATACATGTCACGGACACTTATATGGAAGAGACGTGTCATGTTGGACCTCGTGTCAGACATTGGCACACTGTGAGCACTAATAAAAATATGTCCACCACTTCTTCAATGTGTCTTAAAAAAATTTAAATAATAATATCAAACACTTTAAAGACACTTTGCGGACACTTTGGTGGACCTTTCGTGCACTATTTTTATGATGAATCTCTGCATAGTCTACATTTTTGGGAAAGTAACTCGTACACTCTAAATATGTTTTAAAATATTTCTAAGATGGATACATCACATATGTATTTCAATGTTCTATAATGGTTTCACATTTTACATTTTAAGAATGCAATTGTTTTGTGAATGATATCTTGATGTTTAAGTTGTGAAATATATGACCTTTTAATTTTAATTAGTGTTATGTTGCATTTTTTATTTCCTTTGAATAAATCATTCATATATTTGATTTTACAATAAATTTATAAAGACATAATTTTTTAACATGCTTCAAGTGTCATGCCTTGCCTTTTTATTTTTATTATGAAAAATGCCATGTCCACGCCATGTGCACAAGAATGTTTGACTAGAAGTTAAAAATGAAGCTTGGAAGATGATGCACATGACTGCTCCTGATTTTAACTTTGAAATGCTTATTTATTTAAAAACTTGGCAAAACAGTAAGAATGCTCTGCATATTGATGTCGATGGATAATAGATATGTTGAGCTCCCTGAACACATATGTATCACAGTTGAGTGACTTGTCATTATTGTGAAAAAAAAATTGAAGTAATATTGAGAACTATGTGAAATTTATGATGAAACTTAAAGGTAGTAAAACTGTAAAGGACAAGTACACTTTAGTAGGACAAGGAGAATGATATTAATAACACTACAGTAAGTCCAACACTTTGAGTTATTTATGCTTCATAAGTTCCATTTTTTTTTATCTAATGTGTTTTTATTTTGCAGGTTTTTATTGGAAACCTGGATCCCAATGTCACAGAAGAGGAACTGAGGCAAATATTTTTGCAGTTTGGGGAAATTATCTATGTGAAGATCCCCACATCAAGAGGATGTGGTTTTGTGCAGTTTACAGCTAGGTTCGTCAGGCTTGTGGAATTTCTATTTGAATTGTTGGAAAAATTTAATACGATAAGTTGAAAATATGAAAGATGTCTTGATTTATGTTCTCTCCCATCGAAACATTTTTTTTTTCTCTTTACTTATCTCCTCTCTCTCTCTCTCTCTCTCTCTCTCTCTCTAGGATGAGGATGGATTTATATTCTGTTTAATTTGACCATATGGTAATTGAGTTAAGTTGGTGACTTTATGGTCTCTTGTCCATTTTTCCCATGATATTTTGCTTTATTGCATAAACTTTACGTACTCCCACTTATTTTACCTCCCTATTTATTGTCTTATCATATTGCTTTATATTTCTTTGTGCAGGGCATCTGCTGAAGAAGCAATCCAAAGGATGCAGCGAACAATGATTGGTCAACAAGCGGTCCACCTTTCTTGGGGCAGGAGTCCAACAGCTAAACAGGTGAATCTTCTTTTTAGACTGCTCTAGTATAGTATATTGACATGGCAGTAATGGAGGAAGGAACTACATATCGTTCTAGGTGATGAAATAAGGACTAGATATCATTCTAGTAGACATGATTCATTAAATTCACAAGAACAACCTTGAATCGACAAGGAAAATAAAAAAGAATCTGAAAATAATATTGATTGAATGAATAAGTTACTCATGCCGTAGTCTTTACGCATGTATTTATTATAACCTAAACCTAATACATGTAGAATAAATAATTCTAAAATAAACTAGGGAACTTTAAATTATTACAAACTAGGAAATCTAAGAGAATAATCCTAGTTAAAATTAAATTCTGAAATAATAAAAATATAAAAAGTTTGAAACTCTTGTTTTACATCATTCTCTCCCTTTAGGAAAAAAAAACCTCACCCTCGATTTACTATGAATCGAAACTTCATACGTTTGAGCTTGTCTACATCTATCTTATAGTTAAGGATAATCTTTTCACATACTTGACTTTGAAAAAGTGTAACTCCTCTTGGGATGATTGTTGAATGGATATGTCACATAAAGGATACTTGCTCCCATCTATGTGCATTCTCTCTTAGTTCTTTTAGGAAATAACAATTCCTTGAATTCTTAAATTACTTAAGCAAGGAATTTTGGCATCTTCTTAAAAACCCTTCTTTTCATTAGTTCAGTCAAGGTCGTACACTTTAGTAGGACAAGGAAAATAACTAAGAGCATAGTCAAAAGGTGGTTGCACGCCTTTGTTTTTAATTGCACTGCCCAATAATACAAGAACAAACTTCTGCGCTGTGGTAGCCCTCCGATTTTCCTCTGTTATTAAGTTAAGCCATCAGTTGGTGAATAATTTGAACTACATAATTTGATCTCATCTTGCAATTTGACAATTTTTTTTTGTTTGACGAATCTTCACTTTCTGTAACAAGACTTCCAACTTTTGCAATAATGTCTTGGATTTTTTCTTGGTATACTTTCAAGACTTTTTCTTCATTTATTTCTTGGACACGAGACAATATAGATTTGTCTTCAAACATGAGCCCTTCAAGGATAGTTTCGACATAAGTATTAATAGTATGGTGCTTAGGCTTGTATTTTTCCTCCAATAATTGCTCATAATTCCATGGCAAAAAATTCTCCATTATATGCCTTTTCATTCTTGACCATGAACGAATACGCACCATGAACGAATACGCACCTGTAAGCTTTAATAACACATACCTCTACTTTTATTTGTTTGGAATTTTCATATTTTCAATATATATATATATCTAGTATCCAATCTAGAATATCTTAAAATATTCACCACCACTAAATTTAGGTAAATTTTCATAATACCTATAATCTTGATGATAAGAAAAGTCCACGAGATTGGGTTACGACCTGTCCGAAGGCAACCATGGTTATGAACTGCCCCTCGGCGAAGACCTCGTTCTGACACCAATTGACACAGTGGTAATGGAGGAAGGAACTAATTATTGTTCTAGTAGACAACATGGGCTTGATATCATTTTAGATTAGATGTGATTTATTGAATCCACAGGAACAACCTTGAATCCACAAGGAAAATAAAACATAAACTCTTTGAAAATAATGTTGATTAAAAGAATAAGTTACTCATGCCTGTAGGCTCCTATGTCAGTTGAGCAAAGTTTCATCTTTTATTCTCGCTAGTGTGAAATCTATGAGCTTGACTGAGGTTGGGCTGTACGGGATGAGGGGTGCTTGATTGGGTTGGTTTTCTTTCCAAATTTTGATGTACAGGATGGGTGGGATGAGGCTTCAAACATGGCATCAAAGACTTTTTGAAAATCAATATATAGACCAGTAATTGCGTAGTTTAGTAAGTATAGATTAGAGCAGGCACAACATCACTTACGCATGTATTTATATTGAACTAAACCTAATACTTGTAGAATAAATAATTCTAAAATAAACTAGAAAACTTAAATTAATACAAACTAGGAAATCTAAGAGAACACGAAACTAAAAATTCTAGACTATTTAACAAAGTCATAGTCAAAATCTAATAGCAAAATAATAAAAATAAAAATATAAAATTCTGAAAATTTTGTTCTGCTACATTGCTCTTTCTAGGATTGTCTCTATGAGAGATTCAGCCAGAAGAATTTATCCTTTCCTACTGTTGCTTTAAATTTGATGCTCTATGTCAAAGCCAGAAAGGACATTATTAAGGTTCATGATTTTCATAAAGGTATTGACATCTTCATGATTTGACTGTTGTTTGGCAGTCATGATTGGTATGTAATGAGGTGTAATTGAAAAGACTCTTTCTTTTTGCCAAATGATGTTTCTGGTCTCTAAAAGAATATTCAGTTAATGCTAATTACTACACAATTTTTTAATACTATGTTGTAGGAATTACCTGGTGTTTGGAGTCAGCAAGCAGATCCAAGTCAATGGAGCAGCACCTATTATGGTTACGGACAAGGTTATGATGCCTATGGTTATGGGACTACACATGATCCTTCATTATATGCATATGGTGCATACCCTGGTTACGCGCAGTACCCTCAACAGGTATGACGCTTTTAAAGAACATTGTTTTTTCCCTTTTGCTGGATGTGCTGTCCAGATTGCAATCTAGATAACATACAACTGGACTGTTTTTTGATGCCTTATTTGTAGGAAAGTTAAAAAAAAAAAAATCATTTATTATATACTTAGTTGTGGAACAATTAAAAGCATTGTAGGACACAGACCAAAACTATTAAACCTTGTTTTTCCTCGCATTTTGTGATGAGGATATTTGAAGGAGAAAAGGAACTGTTCAACTCAGGATTGAGAATTTTTTTTAGATATTGGATGGCCGGAGCCAAAAAAAAAAGGGAAACAAAAACAACTAAAAGAGGGGCTGTTATCTCAGTATTTGCGACCTGATTGATAGATGAGGAAATAGCTTCCTTGGCCAATAGATTTGTGCATCTGTTAGCTTCTCTCCAAACCAACACCAGCTGACACTGCCGTTCTTTATGCACGAGCTCTGCAATGTTATTGCAAATATTTAATTGGGTTTCATCAAGCTATGTTTCAAATTGTTATGCTAGATATATGTGACTTGTGAATGAAAACTTAGAATAGTTGTATTGTGTCGAATGTTAATGAATTATGTATTGTGTCGAATGTTAATGAATTATGTATTGTGTCGAATGTTAATGAATTATGTATTGTGTCGAATGTTAATGAATTATGTATTGTGTCGAATGTTAATGAATTATGTATTGTGTCGAATGTTAATGAATTATGTATTGTGTCGAATGTTAATGAATTATGTATTGTGTCGAATGTTAATGAATTATGTATTGTGTCGAATGTTAATGAATTATGTATTGTGTCGAATGTTAATGAATTATGTATTGTGTCGAATGTTAATGAATTATGTATTGTGTCGAATGTTAATGAATTATGTATTGTGTCGAATGTTAATGAATTATGTATTGTGTCGAATGTTAATGAATTATGTATTGTGTCGAATGTTAATGAATTATGTATTGTGTCGAATGTTAATGAATTATGTATTGTGTCGAATGTTAATGATTCAGTTAATTTGAATGATGCTTTAAAATTATAGGTTTATTATGGATTGAATGAATTATTAGGAATTACAGGTGTATTGTTTTCCTG